ACTGGAGGCAGAGAGCCAAGCAGCACTGGCTCAAGGAAGCTGACGCCAATACCAAATTCTTTCACAGGTATGCCTCTCACCGAAAGAAAAAGAATACTTTACTTAGATTAATGAATGACAATGGGGATTGGTTGGAGGGGGATCCCATGAGAGATATCATTCTGGACTATTTTAAGAATATTTTCAGCTCTGGGGGTCCGGGAACTGGAGATGATTTTTTTGGGGGATAGAACCCAGGGTATCACAGGCGCAGAATGACTCACTATTACGACCATTTAATCTGGAGGAAGTAAAGGATGCATTGTTTGCAATGTATCCGGATAAAGCACCGGGACCGGATGGAATGAATCCGGGTTTTTATCAGCATTTCTGGGATGTGGTAGGAGGGGATGTTGCGAGTTTTGTGCTAAACTGTCTTGAATCAGGTGACCTCCCGTCTGGCTTGAATGAGACAGATATTGTGTTGATCCCTAAAAAGAGTAATCCAGAGTTAGTAACTGATTTGCGCCCTATAGCACTTAGCAATGTCATTTACAGAATAATAGCTAAAATGATGGCTAATAGAATGAAGCCTTTGATGGAAGGAATAATATCTGAGACACAGAGTGCTTTTATCCCAGATAGATTGATAACAGATAATATTCTATTAGCTGCAGAAGTGGGGCACTTTCTGAATCGAAAACAGTGTGGATTGAGGGGCTGGGGTGCACTTAAGCTGGATATGGCTAAGGCGTATGATCGAATGGAGTGGCCTTTTCTCCGTAATATGATGATGGCATTGGGTTTCCATGATAGATGGGTTGATTTGATTATGAAATGTGTGACCACAGTCTCCTATAGTATTCTGATAAATGGCTCAAGGAGTGACCCAATAATACCCACGCGTGGTTTGAGACAGGGAGACCCGCTATCCCCATATTTGTTTATTATCTGTGCAGAGGGACTCTCGTTGTTACTACAACAGGCTAACAGAGCGGGAATAATTCATGGATGTAGGGTAGCAAGAGGTGCCCCTCAGATTTCTCATTTGTTTTTTGCGGACGATAGCCTTTTATTCTTTAAGGCTAATGTGGAAGAGGCTAATGAGATAAAGAAATGCCTGACTGTATATGAGGATCTATCGGGACATGTGGTTAACTACCACAAGTCGAGTATTTGTTATAGCAGGAATACGAGTAATGTGGATAGGGAAAGTGTGGCCCAAGTTTTGGGGGTGGAGCAGGCACCAAACTTTGGCAAGTATTTGGGTCTACCTTCGTTTGTGGGTAGGAATAAAAAGGCAGCTTTTGCATATATTGAGGATAAAATACGCCAAAGAATTGGGTCGTGGAATAAAAAGCTATTGTCTCAGGCAGGGAAAGAAATACTGTTGAAAAGTGTGGCACAATCTATGCCTACCTTCTCAATGAGTGTTTTTTTGCTACCTATATCAGTATGCACGGCTATAGAAAGAATGATGAATAGATATTGGTGGGGTTCTGGGACGGACAACCGAGTTCACTGGAAGGCTTGGGACAAGCTATGTGTTCCTAAGAAGTATGGTGGATTGGGTTTTAAGGACCTACGTGCATTTAATCTAGCTATGTTGGGGAAACAAGCATGGCGAATGCTCACTAAGCCTGATTCCTTAGTAGCTCGTGTTTACAAAAGCCGATATTTTCCCAGGGATACTTTCTTTGATGCGCAGGTAGGAAATAATCCCAGTTTTTGTTGGCGGAGTATAATGGCGTCAAAGAGCATAATTTGTAGTGGGGTCAGACGAAGAATTGGGAATGGGGAAACTACATCTATATGGACCCATCCATGGTTACTGGATGACCAGGACCCTATGATACAAACAGAGATGCCTATACAGTTACGAGAGGCCAGAGTAGTGGGGCTAATAGATCAACAAACTGGTACATGGGATAATGAAATTTTATCAGATTTATTTCAACCTACGGATGTCGAGAGAATTATGAGAGTACCTGTATCCCGGGATTATAATGATGCATGGTATTGGTACGGGGACCCGAGAGGATTATATTCTGTGAAAAGCGGGTACAGACGATTGGTGGGAGATTATGAGAATAATCAAGGCCCCTTTACTAATTGGTTAGCTTTATGGAGACTAAAAATTCCACCAAAGTGGAAAATGTTCCTCTGGAGAGCTATTTGTGATATTTTGCCTACAACTACGAACTTGCTTTTAAAGAGGGTGGAGGTGAACCCATATTGTGCTATGTGTGGGATATCACATGAGAATACAATGCATGCATTAGTCTTGTGTGATTTTGCAAGAAACATTTGGGATCAATCCAACCTTACAATCCCCAATATTGTCACGGATATTTTTCATGTTTGGTTTGGGGAACTTCTAAATATTTTAGATTCTGATGGAATGTTATATGCAGCATCAATTCTATACAATATTTGGAAAGCTCGAAATGGTGCAGTTTGGGAGGCGTTTTTACCACGCCCGGGGTCCCTACTCAGAGCCGCAGCGGCAGCCAAGACCGCATGGACTCAGTCCCGCCCAGCCGTGGCTGCCACTGCCACTGCTACGCTGCCGACAGAAAACCGCCACGCTGCCCAGGCGAGTCCCACCGCCGGCCGCGGTGCTGCCGACGCCGCCGGATCCTCTGTGCCGCCAGTGAGAAGATGCATGGTCGATGCGGGATATCTACACGAGACAGGGAATGCAACTGTAGGGGCCGTTTTATTAGATGGAGATGGAGCCTATTTCTCGGCACTAACCGCGCCGCTACCGGCCTGTACGGCGCCGCTGAGGCTTTGGCGTGTAAGGAAGTTTTATCATGGCTAAAGGATCGAGGTGAACAGAATATTGAGATCTACACGGATTGTTTGACACTACAACGCTACCTTACATCATCAACCACTGCGTTTCGCTCTTACGTTGGCTATGCCATTGATAGCTGCAGGCAAATTGCCGTTTATTTTCACTCATGTTCTTTTAATTATATTTCTAGATCGGACAATTATTTAGCTCATGCTTTAGCCACTACGGCTTATCAGCAACCTGATACTATGTACTGGGATACTCACCCACCAGACATTATTTCAGCATTTTTCTAATGAAGCACCGCAGAAAATTTTCAAAAAAAAAAAAATAATATTTTTTTTATGAACCCATCAAAAAAGTATTACATATACATAGACGATCTTACACTAAACTTATTCATCAATTAAATCAATTGTATATCGTCGCGCAGTCAAAAAAAAAGGCTATCTAGGTCTTCATGGCACCCACATGATCGATATTCACCTTCCTTGATGAAGAAGCATGGGTAGAGTGAAAGATGAAGAAGTGATTAAAACCCCCACAGCCCCACATGCCCATTGCCAAAAACAAAGACTGCTAAGATCCCAAAACCGGACTTCAATCAAACACTTTCTTCTACTTCTTATTGTAAGACTTTCCCGTATAATATATATTATATATTATGGGTCTTACTTATGTAGTGCAAGTGGACTAGGCCCATTAAGTAATTGGTTGGGTTGGACCTTTAGGTTTAAGTCTTATATCCACCAATGTGCCTATATAAAGCTTGTATTGATGGGATACAAGATACATGATTCATTATATGGTACTTATACTGCTCAGAAAATACCAATACACCATCTAGGGTTCTGAGTCAAGTATAAGACAAAACGGCTAACCCTACAGATCTACTTCAAGAGGCAATACAACAAGATATCAACCATGGCTGGAGATCTACCGTGCTTCCGCTTCCGCTACTACGAGTTAAGTTTCTCGTAGATTATGCTCTGTATATTTAGATCTCACACTTATGACACCACCATTATCGTACCTGCAATAATGCTTTTCGTCATCAACCCCACACGCGGCGTCCGATCATAGGATAGCTGATAGCAGTCGTCAAATGTACATACATTTTCGTGTGGCAGAATAGCGACAGGTTAACGAACATTTTTTTTTTTTTTTGGTGTGTCTTTCTAGAACGTCGCACCTGGTTTTTGCTACCTGGGACACCGTGCCAGCACGAGATGGTAGTGGGGAGCTGGTTAATCTGGCTGCTGACATGTGCCTGGGGAAACCAAATTTCACTATAACTACCCAATACCCAATAGAAGTAGGTCTCCAACCCATAGCCAAACATTTTGTGCTCAGATGATATGTACTGACTTTTCTTATGTGGGAGGTCATGAGATCGAACTTCAGTGGAGATGTTGTTGACTCTTTGTGCTTTATTAGGTTGAGAAAGTATATTTGAACAAATACTACAATGTAATAGAGTCAGTAGCATTAATAAAAAAAAGTCTCCAGACCCATGTGGAGGGGAGAGGGGGCAATGAATTTGATTTTTCTTTAGGAAAATTCTACACCACGGTGTCAAATTCCTAAAATGGAAGGGTACTCATTTGATGAGTTGTGGACCTGTGGTGTATGATGATAACATAATTGTCTAGGAACTTTACCATATAGTTCTCATTAAAGAAGCACCTTTCTCATTAAATAATTTTTCTTCTATATTAGGAATCCGGCATGGTACATTTTCAGTAATATAAAAACTCAAAACACTTTTATATTAATTATATTGTGATTACATGAGTCATGAGTGTTTGACTAGTTTATGAAGGTCCAAGTCTCAATTAGTTTGCCGTGATTATTTTTACTTGTAATAATTTATAAGTAACAAGATATGATTTTTTTAAAATAATTTTTTTTAACAAATTTGATTTGTAAACTATAATAGCCAAACGGAAACCAGTCCACAATGCCACATGCCAAATTTTGCTATTTTTAGAAAGGACAAATACAATGCTAGATTTTTAATCAATCCACAAGATCATCACGACATTATTGATTGGGATGCATCATGCATATATGGGACATTTTAGTTAGACTTACAAATGATATTTATTGTGTGTATATGTATTGGAAAAAAGGGTCTAAGCTAAGCTTGATTGTTGGTCAATAAATTTCCAATGTTTAAAATCAATCATTCACAAATATAAACTAAACTTTAGGGGGGACAAATTAAAATGGAGTGCATAAACTGGATTGGAATTCATTAATTAAATTAAAAATATTGGATGATTGTTAGTTGATAAAGATTCGAATCGAAATATTTTACAGGTGTCAACGTAACTGCCAACGACATCATAAATTCATCTTCTCCCGCCTCCGTCCTATATTATTCTTCCCTACAAAATCTCTCTCCCATTCAATCATTCTTCCTCCCTCCCCTGCAATCTTTCTGTCTTTATTTCTATGGTGGAATTGGAATTGGCATTGGCATTGGGATTGGAGTATATGATAATAGACCGCAAGGAATTGAAGAACAAAGATATATCCTAAAAAATGGCGCATTCCGATCCCAACATGCCGGTGGGCCAAACCGACGAGGATTTTAACGGGCGTAAGAGCAGCTACTCGGCGTACGATCCTAACGTCCGCCTGAGCGTGGATGGGTCGCCGACCATGTTGTCGCCGTGGAACCAGAACTCCCCGTTCGCCAAGTCTCCATGGTCGCAATCGCAAAGCGCGGCGGGGGCGGGGGCGATGGGGATGAACAATGCGGCGGCGCAGAATCTCCCGCAGAACTGCCTGATTGGGTCTCTGGTTAGGGAGGAAGGGCATATATATTCTCTGGCTTCCCGGGATAAGATTCTGTACACGGGGTCGGACAGCAAGAACATTCGGGTGTGGAAGGACATGAAGGAATTCGCGGCTTTCAAATCCAACAGTGGGCTGGTGAAGGCCATCGTGATATCCGGCGACCGGATTTTCACGGGCCACCAGGACGGGAAGATTCGGGTGTGGAAGGTGAACCAGAAGAACCCGGGAGTGTATAAACGGGTGGGGACGATGCCGACGTTCTTTGATATTTTCAAGGCGTCGTTGAAGCGGAGCGCGGTGTATATAAAACATTCCGACGCGATTTCCAGTTTGACCATGGATACGGAGGACGGGCTGTTATACTCTGCGTCGTGGGACAGGACTTTCAAGGTGTGGAAGACGGAGAGCTCCAAATGCGTGGAGTCCGTGAACGCGCACGACGACGCCGTCAACTCGGTGGTGGCCAGCGTGGAGGGGATGGTGTACACCGGCTCCGCCGACGGGAGCGTCAAGGTTTGGAGAAGAGAAATGGCGGGGAAGGGCACCAAGCACGTGTACTTACAGACGCTGCTGAACCAGGAGTGCGCCGTCACGGCGCTGGCCGTCAACAAGGAGGGATCGGTTCTGTACTGCGGCTCCTCCGACGGGGTCGTCAACTTCTGGGAACACGACAAGCACTTGTCCCACGGCGGCGTTCTCAAGGGGCACAAGCTCGCCGTCCTGTGTCTCGCGGCGGCCGGGAACCTCATTTTCAGCGGCTCAGCGGATAAGACCATCTGTGTTTGGAGGAGGGTGGGGTCGGTTCATACGTGCCTCTCCATCTTGACCGGTCACAATGGGCCGGTTAAGTGCCTGACGGTGGAGGAGGACCAGGAGTCGATCGGGAAATGGGTGGTTTACAGTGGGAGCTTAGATAAGTCTGTGAAGGTGTGGAGTGTTTCTGAAGCCGCCACTGATTTGCAGAAGATGGGAATGGCATGAACACCGCCTCTGTTCTCCATCAAAACTCAAAACTCAAAACTCAAAATTGGGTCCGTACACACTCAAGATTCAACCGTCCAGTTGTACTAGTACTATAGTCAATCTCTAATTACATGCATAATTATTGAAGGGTAGGTAATTTCATGCAATGGAATTATATATATGAGATTTTTTTTTCTTCTTTTCTTTGTATATAAGGTAATTTGGTTCCTCTAATTATACTTGTTTCATTACAATTTTTAAATACTAATTTTGTATATATTAACCTATTAAGATATCTCACAATTTACCTTTTCACCCAAACTTTATAATAGAGAAAGTGAACCAGACTCAAACGACAACCCTAACAAATTTTATCAGACTTAAACGACAACCCTAACAAATTTTATCAGACTTGATAATTACTGAATCACAAAGTTTCCTTGTGATCTTTTGTGTCACAAAGCAGGATTTATCCAGTGCACACACTCAAAATTAGGTGTAATAGTTTTTTTTTTTTTTTAAAGAATGTTTTGACACTGACAATCATGCATGAATGAAGAAATATAGAACAAGAGAAAGCAGACAAATCAATCAATTATAATCATAATAAATACAGATTTGTCAATGTGATTCTTGGTAATGCAAGCATGTTCTATGAGGCCCCTACAACTTGTCATTGACATAATAATGTCTATATTACATGACTGTGTTTAAATTATTCATGGCTGGTTCTCCACTCACATAATTTGCTGTTAAAGAATGCATTTTCTTTTTCAATGAAGGAAAAGAGACAAAGAGGAGAAGAATGTCAAAGATTCACAATATCCAAACAAAATCTCAACAAGTCAAGATGCATGTGATCAAATATTTTAAGGGCCATACAACACCCCTGCAACAATGGGCCAATAAAATAATTTGACAAGATGCCCGTGATTCAAGAAGATAATGACTAAATAGCATATTAATGTTTATATATATACATAACTCCTTTTAAACTCTTATTAGTTTACCAGAATGGAACTTGGTCAGCACAGATAAAAAATGACCGTAGTGTAAATGACTTGTACACAGTGGTAATGAAGGCTGGAAACTGGGATTTATTAAAGAAAACAGCAGGAACAGAATATTACATACAGTTATACAGTTATATCTTTGTCATGTATTTCCTAGTCACAAAGAAAATGTTTCAGTCATTTCATTTATACCTCTTCTCCAATGCATTGCAAAAGAAGTGAAGTATGACAACCTAACTAGATCCCTAAAAGAATGAATGATATCTTACCAGGCAACTCATCTTCAGAGTAGCACCAAGTTTTCAGAATGTTGTGTCAGTATGAAAGTCGGCGAGAATGCCTCATTGGTTCTGGACGGTTGCTTATGTTCACGCCCTGCATGTGGCTACTTCTATTGCTGACCAAATTCGAGTCTAAATCCAGTGGCAGGACTGTAGCTCCTCCTTCTAGTACTCTAAGGACCTAAATATGAACATTAAAAAAATGTGAACCTTTTCATCCCAAAAATATAGTTAAAGAATAGTCACTCCGTATAGTTGTATAAATCTCTAGCGCAACAAAAGGAAACTGGTTTAACAACCAGAGGGTAAATACTTTTGTTTTGGAATAAAGACATGGGAAAACCTTGGACATAGGAGGACGCAAGTCAGGTTCTCGTTGTAAACACAATGACGCTGCAAAACCCATTGCCTGTAGTTCACGGGGTAAGTTATGAAGTTGTGTTGACGCCAAATTGGAATCCAGCAACTGATGCTTATGTGCTAAAATATGAATTGGTTCCACCGTAACTGAAGGGTAAGAATTCTCCAGTAAAAGGCTCTGCCCCTTGTAATATAGAAAGTCGCTCGTTTTTTTCCCAGTAATCAGCTCTAACAACACAAGGCCAAAAGCATATATGTCAACTTTCTCTGTAACCTTTCCATCAGTGAAGAATTCTGGTGCCAGGTACCTTGAAAGGTATTGAAACAATGTTATCAAAGTTAACCAGTTTAAAATGCTTCAATGGCTTGGTGAGAACATTGCCAATAATTTATTGAAGTGATATGCAAAACAGAATATGCTTTAGTATTGAAAATGTACCCTGAAGTTCCAAGAAAGTGCTTGTCATCAGAAAACACCCATTCACTGTGCAACCGTGCAAGCCCAAAATCCGTAACCTTAAATGAGGAAACATGTTATTAAATCCATGTGATTTCTATCAATTTCTATGGAATACATATTTTACGATGAAAGCAGAAGACTTCACCACCCTTTTTCCTTAAATAGGTCTTTCTATACACATAGCTTTTAAACGGTTCTTTAGAAACAAACATGATACAATTAATTAAAGAAACAAAATGATTCCCAAGAGCCATCAATTAATAGTTACCAAAGGTTCAAAATCATGAGTTAGGAGGATGTTCTTTGGCCGCAAATCCCTGTGAACTATACATCCTACTCTGCAATCTTCATGAAGGTAGCGTAAGCCTCTAGCTGTGCCAATAGCTATCTTCAGTCTTGAGTGCCAATCTAGAGTAGTTCTATTTTTTCCTGTCATATGTTGGAACATCTTTATTATATTTTGCTAACTCAAAGTTAGAAGCTAACATGTAGGTTGAGTGGCAAAAAATACTAGAAAAACAGAATGTACCATGCAAGTGAAAGTCCAAGGACTTGTGGCATATATACTCGTATACTAATAATCTCCTGTTTTGTTGGATGCAGAAACCAACCAGAAGTACGACATTCCTATGCTGTGCACAACTCAATACTCGCACTTCCCTACAGAAATCAGTATCAGCTTGAGAACCTAGAAACTTGAGCTGTTTTACAGCAACCACCAATCCATCCCTCAGAATCCCTTTATGAACCAAACCAAACCCTCCTTCAGCCAGAAAATTTGTGTCAGAGAACCCATCTGTTGCTTCCTCTAGCTCTTCATAAAGAAACTGTCTAGGGGGCTTCCCAAAAGATGGGGCTTTAAGTTGACAAATTGAACACAGAGGAGGAGGTTTTGAAGAGGTTCTACCTAAAGAGACTGCCTCCCTGATGCTGGAGTTGACAATATCTATCTCAAAGTTTTGGTCCCTCCTCATCAAACCTTGATTGTGTGGGGAAAAATTACCATGTTCATTTCTGGAAGTAATAGTATTTTTGTCCTTTCCAGAGGTGTTTATTTGGCTTTCTACTGTTGAAAGGTTCTTATCAATTATGTGGTTCTGAGGAATCCAAAAAATTCTTTCACGACTCTCAGTTTCAGACTTTTGGAAAGATGATAGAGTTATAATTCTTTCCCCAACTGAATCCATTGCATTAAGCTGACCATCATACTCATTTTCTTTATGGGCTGACAAGAACTTTGCTTTATTAGGACCTTCGTATAGTGGATTGTGCTGATATAAAAGAAATGAGTCTTGTCTGGTAAAATTTTCTACTGGAGTTCTCATGTATAAAGGACTTTGATCCTCAGGACTGCTTACAGGAGTAGAATGTTTCATCCTATGCCCATATGAATTTCGATTATCCAAAACAGGTGAAGCCTCAGCAGAAACATAAGGGGTTTGTGGTTCATCCGAGCACCCTAAATTGAGTCTAAGGACCTTTGGCTGGGAACCCTTCATGACTACAATATTGCAGCGAAGTTCCTCCACACAAAACTTGCGTTCTTGTTTCAATTTTCTGTCTTAGAAAATAAGAAATTGAGTTGGTAGTTTTAATTTCAGAGAACACATAAACCAAAAATGAGATCAGAAGCATGAAAAAGTAGCAAATAGTGGAAAAAGGGAAAAATAAAAAAATAAAATAAAATAAATTATATACTCAGGCACATTTCTGCCAACTCTAACTACCATCTAAAGTGCAAATACTAACTTAAATTGCTAGCTGAGGTGTGGCACCATTGCATGAACTGTACAATGGTTTGAAATTTTTCGTCCAGTTCACATAAAACATAGGTGAACAGAAAGAAGACAAGCATGTTAAGCACTTGTGAATATGCCTATATATCTACATTAAACACAGTAAATATTTTGATGACAGTTCACACCAAACAACAGAAAGACAACGGCATCTAAAAACTGACAAACATTTCAATTCTTAGTGGGCTCTGAGGGCAGGACCAGTAGGCTACAATAACTCTTCTTTTTCTGTTCTGTTAAAATGTTGCTTTCTAATCCTAAACTTATTGCTGTGCCGCCAAGTCTTGGATGTGGAAGCAAAGCAAGAAAATATGTAAAGCACAACTGGGAAGAGGAATCTCATGAGCTAATATGCACTAAGAAAAAGAAAATACATTTATATTTAATTACTTGTCCAGTATGACCCAGCTAGCCGCATTGCTCTTCGCTTCAGCAGCCACTGCACCAGCAAAATTGGCTGACACAACCTTAATCCGCACTCTGACCTGTAATCAAATTGCAACAACTTATATCTCGTCACTTGATGATAAATATTAGATATGTTTATTATGCAAGGATAAACACTACAAGTTTTTGCTTCTAATACAATTGTTGTACAACTAAATTACAGCAGAGCACACATGCCTCTGCTCTTTCCTAGAATCAGCAGAAGGACTAGGTTGTCCTGCTTGTCTTATAGGAAAGAATAATTGACAATACAAATTTTAAGCTATATGACTATCTACATTATCTTTTTAATATGTCCCAAAATGTTATGCACTTTTTTAGAATAAACGATATAAATAATTTTACAATATACACTTCTAACAAGAGTTAATAAATAAATAAATAACTCAAAATTTTATCTGGTATAAGATGGAAAATGTGCTTTTTCTCCACTGTCTTTAGTACTCCAAAAGTTAACATTTGCATCTAAAAAAGTATAGAAATTATAATATTATTCTAGATTTCATTTTTTTAAAATAAATAATAAAACAAAACACAAGTACACATTTCTACCATTTTCACAGATTTCAGGCAATGGTAAATTACTCTATTGTCCAAGAGCAAGTCAACGGGGAAGTTCAAAGTATGGAATCTAAAGGAGTGGTAGTTGAGTAATTCACTC